AAGATTATCTTGTGTCTGTGTTAATTGGTTTCCCTTTTCTTTGTTGAAGAGGGTCTGTGCAATCCTTCTGCCTAGTCCGCCATCTTGCCGCCAGCAAGCAGTCTTTTAATGGAAATAGAATTTATTCACAAATTTGTCTTCTAAATTGTTAAGATTGTTTCTAAACTTTTCTGATTTTCTACCTTTATTTTTGAGTGTGTACACCTAATTTAGATTTACTAATTATATGTTGCTTGTATAACAGTTCTGAATATTGTGTACATTGTAAAAAAACAACCAAAAAGAAAACTAGCAAAGCTAAAAAGAATGAGATACTTAATATTTTACATTTTAGAAAAGCTACTTGTCCATTTTGTCAGGTTTAATTTAGTAAAAAGCAGATATCTAGAAATCCCTTGTTGTCAAGTCGATTTCAGCTCATAGCAACTCCATGTGTCAGAGTAGAACTGCCTTATAGTGTTTCCTAGTATGTAATCTTTACAGGCACAAACATTTCAACTGCATTCTCTCCCAGTCTGCTAGAAGTGAATGGGCAAATAAAGGTATCACCATCCCTCCCAATGTAGATCTCCTTTTTATCCCTCTGGATACCTTATATCATATAGGGGATATGTAATCTTTTGACATCTACCCCAAGGTAGGGAGCTAGACACATTGTATGTAATATTAAAGCCTACCTTATTTTTTAGGTTCAAAAGGAAATAATAGTTTTCCTCTCCCCCATTGGATAATTTTTCTTTTTGGTTAAGGAAGTGTAGTATTATTTTCCTTCCCTGGAATGCACACACACCCCTCCCCTGCCTTAGAACACAAATTTCTTATTACTGGTAGTGCAAGGGAGTGTAAAGCTTTTTTAAAGCCTCCTTAATCACTTGTATTGTTTTATGAGAGCAAGGAATCTTAACAAGTAATTGGTCTGACTATGCTGGGTATTAGTCTAATAAAATGTATTTGTTTTTTTATTTTTTTCCTCTTTTTTTTTTTTTTAAATCCTGGCAAGTACAGGCACCATCTTGTTCTTTTGGTCCCAGAGTTGTAAAGGCTGAGGTCCCCGTGGACCATCATATCCTTGGACTAAATTTTTCCAAATGACTTTGATTTTCTTCACTCTTATTTGCTTCGGACAAGAGGAGATCAATAATTGCATCTTGGATGGCTGCACGAAAGCTTTTAAGACCAAAGTTGCTACTTGCGAAAGTAGGATGTAGAACAAGATTTTTATAAGACATCTGATTTCTTGTCTGCCGCTTCCATGGGTGGTGATTGTGGATCCAATTAAAGTGAAATACCTGGGGGGAAAAAATATGGCAAGTAAGCAGCAAGTTGCTTATTTGGTTGTTTATTGATGTTACTACATCCATTTGCTTTCAACTGGAAGCAGTGGATAATTGAGGATTAGGACATCTGATCTGGAATAGCTGTACAATTTCACAGTCTTATCCACTTCTGAGTCATAGTTTCTCCACCTAAGTGCCCATCAACAGATGAATGGATAAACAAACTTTGGTACATACACACAGTGGAATATTATGCAATGTTATAAAGAATAACAATGACTCTGTAACACCTCATAATATGGATGAACCTAGAGGACATGCTGAGGGAAACTAGTCAATCACAAAAGGATAATTATTGTATGAGATCACTACTATAAAAAGTTAAAAGGTTTGCACACAGAAATAATCATTCTTTGAAGGTTACTAGGGGTGGGAGAGGAAGGGAGGGAAAATCACCAACATATATTAACTTGGGTGAAGGGAAAGGCAATATACAATAAGGGGGTGATCAGCACAGAATGATCAATGCAGTGGAAGACACAAGGAGAAGCACAAGAGTCAAAGACAATAATGAAGAACACTATTACATAATCCTGCAGTAACAATAATCTACAAGTAGATACATAAACAGACACTCAGTATGCATGGGGTTAGGAAGGCGAATGGAATTAAATCCATGAATATATATATAGGTTTGACAGAAGTTATCTCTACTTAGGTATTTACATGTGCTACAAATATATCCATGAATATAATAAAGCCTACAGGGGGTAAAGTTATGAAATCTTCTTAGTCATAACCATACACCTTGAGGGAATGAATTGCTGGGCATGGAAGCTTCAGGACCATAGTCCTGGGGGACACTAAAGTCAACTGGCATAAGAATCCACAAAGACTGGTCTACATCCTGCTTTGGTAAATAGCAACTAGGGTCTTAAAAGCTTATGAGCAGCCATCTAAGATGCAACTTTTGGTCTCTCCCATCTGGAGCAAAGAAGAGGGAAGAAAATCAAAGACACAAGGAAACAATTAGTCTAAAGGACTAATGGTTCACATGAACCCCAGCCTCCATGACCCTGAGACCAGAAGAAGTAGATGATGCCCAGCTATCACTGCTGACTACTCTGAGAGGGATCACAATAGGAGGACCTGGATGTAGTGGGGGATAATGCAGAGCAAAACTCAAAATCATAAAAAAAAGACCAGGCTTTACTTGTTTGATGAAGACTGGTGGAACCCCTAAGACTATGGCCATTAGACACCCTTCAAGCTAAGAACTGAAAAAAAGAAAAAATGTGTTTTTCAGAGAAAAGCTTCAGATCCAAGCCGATTTACAAACCGTGGAGGAAATCTTCTAAAGGAAGAAAAACAACGTGCCAAGCTCCAAAAAACACTCCCTAAGGTAGTATTGTTTCTAAGAATTTTTGGTATTGGCTGTAAGATATCTCATATACCTTTTGCCATTGATTGTTCTCCCCTCAAACTGTCTTTTCTTCCAAAGACTGTTGTTATGTGCCGTGGAGTCAGACCCAACTCATAAAGACCCCTCCTTGGGTTTCCGAGGCAGTATCACTAGGAAGTAGATTGCTCTACTAGACAGGAATTATAACTGCTGTAGGCAAAATTGAGTATCAGGGTAAACTTTCTCAAAAGTGCTATGAACTTCCTTACTATTCTCTATTTTAATAATAGCATTTACTGAGCTGTGTGCTAGTGTTTTACAGTGCTTTCCATTTACTAATTTATTCATTTCTCACAACATTCCTATGAGGTTATTGTTTCCATTTTTATAGTGAGGAAACCGAGGCACCGAGAAATTAAGTACTTTTGCCCAGCTTTTCACAACCAATACAAAGTAGGTTCCATATTAGAACTCAGATGGTCTGATTGAGTAGTCCATGATCTTAAAGTACACTGCCTATTTTAATATCACTGACCTTACTTGGTAGTGCCTCCAACTTTAGGCACCAAAACCTTAGTATCTAGACTCTGACTTCTCACCCTTTTCCATCTGGTGGGTTAGGCTTTGATTTCTGGCCACTCATCCTTGTATCCATGTGAGTCTGGATAGCTGATGCTCTCCAGAGAGATGAGTAATTGTTTAGGAGAATCATTTGGCTTTCACACCAAAGATCTGAAGCAATTAATATGTCCTTATTTGTGGTTTCAGCTGGAAGAGGAGTTGAAGGCCCGAATTGAAATGTGGGAACAGGAGCATTCAAAGGCGTTTGTGGTGAATGGGCAGAAATTCATGGAGTATGTGACAGAACAATGGGAGATGCATAGGATGGAGAAAGAGAAAGCCAAGCAGGAAAGAGTAAGTGTAAATACAGATTGAGAAAAGGGGAAGATAGTAATTTGAGCAGCCTAGAGTCTGTCAGGGATCAAAGTTGTTTGAAAAACAAGTAGGCCAGAGGTAGCTCTTTTTAGCTCTGAGTGCAGACTTGGCACTAGATTTCTGGCCCTGCTTCTATACCCATCCCAGACCTTCTCTCTTACTGGGCTTTATCATCTGACTTTCATACAGCAACTAAAGAACAAGAAGCAGACAGAGACAGAGATGTTATATGGCAGCGCTCCCCGAACACCTGGCAAGCGGCGAGGATTGGCACCCAGCACACCAGGCAAAGTTCGCAAGGTAAACACGAGGCTTTGTGAACCACTGATTATGAGGGAATGTTGAGGCTAGGGTTCTTGGTCATCTCTCGCCTTCTAGGACAGAAGAGATAGGAAAGGATTTTTTGGCCTTCCAGGTTCAGTCCATTAGAGAGTATGAATGGAAAACTGGAACTAATCTTATGTAGTGGCTTGGTAGCAATAGCCGAAGAGTGGTCTGCTTTGATGTGTGCTAGTTGTTAGTGAAAAAGGGGAAGACCCTCAACAAGGTGGATTGACACAGTGGCTACAACAATGGGCTCAAGCGTAGAATGATTGTGAGGATGGTGCCAGGACTGTGTGGTGTTTTGTACTGTTGTGCAAAGGGTGGTTGTGAATTGAAACCAACTCGATGGCACTTAACAGTAACAACAACAGTTGTTAGATTCTTGGATTAAACTTGGGGCAGTAATTGCCAGCATTCTTAGAGGATGAAAACTTTCAGTGGTCCATCATTTTAAAATTGGAACCAGTGACCATGGTGCTATGTAAAAGATCACTTTCATGATTAGTAAATGGCTTGCACTTTTCTTGTGCCTTGTAAGAAATCCACTTATGACTTGAAGTCCCACAGATATTTCCCATTATTGTATTTCCTGTTCTGCCTCCTATATTGAATAATTTTGCTTTTATCATGGTTTTTAATCTACCTAGAATTGTTTAGTTTTTTTTTCCCATTCCAAAATATTTTTGCAGCTTTCATAAGTAAAACTGATATGCAATAAACTGCACATATTTCAAGTGTATGCTTTGATAAGTTTTGATATATGTATAGACCACTAAGCCATCACCACAATCAAGATAATGAACATATCGTCACTCCAGAGTTTCCTCATGCTCCTTTGTATTCCCTTCCCCATTCCCACCCCAGTCCCTTACAACCATGGGTTTGCTCTGTCACTATAGATTCGTTTGCATTTTCTAAAATTTTCTATTTTGTATGGCTTTTTATTTAGCATAATATTTTTTGAGATTCATCTACGTTGCATGTATCAATCAATAGGTCACTCTTTTTTATTCTTGTGTTCCATTGTTTAATGTACCATAATTTGTTTATCCATTCACTCATCGATGAACATTTGGTTGTTTTCATTTTTTGATTATTACAGATAAAGCTGCTATAAACATTTCCGTACGTTTTTGTATAAACATGTGCTTTCATTTCTCTTGGGTAAATACCTAACAGTAGAATGACTGGTAATTGGTGTATGTTTAACTTTTGAGATAGAAGTAGGTTGTACCATTTTACAGTTCCATTAGCTGGTTATAAAATCAGCTTTGAAAAGTTTTCACAGGTTTCCTCAGAGCTATACAGTATTAGATATAGCAGGGATTTTACCACGCAATTCATTTTTCCTGGACTGCTTCCCATACTCGTTTCTCTGTGGGGTAGAGATGGGTGGCTAGAAATGCTGAGGATGTGGTCTCATCAGTAATCTGTCTGCTTTTCTTAGCTGAACACCACTACCATATCCAATGCTACAGCTAATAGTAGCATTCGGCCTGTCTTAGGGGGGACAGTCTACCGCTCCCCTGTGTCTCGACTTCCACCTTCTGGCAGCAAGGTTAGTCTACTCTGTGTGTAAGTATCCCCAAACACTGCTTATCCTAAATTTACCCCAAGGCCCCATCTGCTTTTATCAGTTTCTAAGATTCTTCTTTTCAGTTATCATTGAGATGCTAAGAGTTGACAGATGAAAGCTAATCAGTAGATGATGATTGAAAAACTAAATGAGAGAAAAAAGAGGAGAATGGTCAGTCTGGGCCCCACTGGCCCATGGAAAGAGCTGTGATGTCAATGGGAAATGAAGATCAGTGGTAGTCTGTAGGTTGGTGCTAAGCTAGGTCCCTGCACGTGGGCTCCCACCCATTGTCACTGGATCACTGCCTGTAGTAGGGTAGTGATAAGATGGGAGATGGAGGAGTTTATGCTAAAATGTGTTCATTTAAAATATTATATAGACTAAGTTCAAGATAAGTGTCCTATAAATCATTAAAAATTCATGTTTGTTTTTTTGTTTAAAAAAAAACATCCAGGATTGCAGAGATATATGGATAATAAAAAGATGGTGTCAGCCTTTGGCCATTTTGGGGTATTTTTTTCCAATGTAGTCATTATAAGGATAATGCATTGATCTCTTTCTGTTCTTTGCAGCCAGTAGTCACTGCCACCTGTTCGGGGAAAAAAACACCCCATGCTGGCAGGTATGGAGCCAACAAGGAGAACCTGGAGCTCAATGGTAGCTTCCTGAGCGGTGGGTACCCTGACTCGACCCCCACCCAACGCAACTTCAGCATTAATTCTGTTGCCAGCACCTATTCTGAGTTTGCGGTAATTCACCTTTTCTAAATATCTACCAGTCTCTGGGGAGCACACAGTTGGGGCCGGGTAGATATCTTTCCAACAGCATTCAGGCAATTGAGTTAGGACAGTTACTTTGGGGGCTGAGAATCCCTTTCCTGCCTTAACGGTGGTGGGGGTGGGGGTAGACTAAGGGGGGGGTGAGCAGGAAGGAAGTTGCAGCAACAACTTGACATTTAACCTGGATCCTTCTGCTTAAGATATACCATTCCCTGGCTGCAGGAGGTGACCCCTCTAATCACTACCCTGGTGCTCTCTTGGTGGAGTTCTTGGTAATTATCTTAATTCTTTGTTCTTAGAAGGATCCATCCCTCTCTGACAGCTCCACTGTTGGGCTTCAGGTCTGTATGGCAACCCTGCATGTCCCATGTCCCTTTTCCAAACTGATCTGTCATCTGCTGGCTTCATTCCCATCTGAGCAAAGGGCTGCACTAACCAATAAACTCTACTATCAAACAACCTTTTTAACAAAGGTAGCAGGAATTCCTTTTATAGACTTCAAGTTCCCAGCAAACTGACTACCCTGCTGATTAAGAAGAAGATGTGTTCAGACTTGAATTGGATTCTCAGCCTGCTAAAGTCAAAGTTTTTTTTTTAATGTTATTTCACAACAGAACCTTCACACTCCCCAGTTGTGACATCAAAGGCCTGCAATGCACTAGAAGTAATAAAGACCCCATCTTGTGGGGAGAGGAGCCCTGGCTGTGTGCTGCCTATGAGGTTCTTGGCCTGTGTGCTGATTATTTCCTGGAGTATATTTCTTACTAACCCCTCAAGGCTGAATTGCCAACTATTGAATCTAATCAATGCTTGCTTTCCCTATTTCTACCACATTGAGCTGCTAAAGCATACACAAAGCACTGGAAGAAAGTCATTTTCCCAGAATGCTCTTCAATTCCCAAGATCTTACTTTATTTAACAATGCCTGTTATTGTTAACAATTAGTGTTCTCTCTTACCTATTTTCCCATTGAGCTAAGACTGCTCTCATCCTTGGTGAAATGTTCAGTTAAAGTCTTGGGCACTGCCTCTCTTTGTTGCTGCAGTGGCAGGGAGAATGTGACAGTTGCCCAAGGCTTATGCCTACTTTGGAGCATTGAAGCTAGCTTCATATTGTGGCACTTTTTCCAAATTACATGACAGATGGCTCTACCTCTAGAAGTACATGCATGTCACTCTGGCTAGCTGATTGCTGTAAAGTGGCTCGCAGCTTTCTTTTCTGCTTGCTTGGTCATTTTATCTATTTAAATGTGCCTGCTTGTCCCTGTGTCTGTCCTAGGGATCCTCATCTGGTTTTGGTTGCTTTATCTGGTAGACTACACCAGGTAGCACCAAAAGCCAGTAGACTGACCTCTACTAACATCTGTTGTTCTCAGTGGTTCAATCATGCCTTTGCTTCTGCTTCTATACCATGTGCTCCAGCCTGAGATCAAATCACCAGCAGGTTACAAGGCCCTCAGCCCCAGGGATTGGTAGATATGTGGTCTGGCCTGTCATTTTATAAAAGGCTTGAAAGACCAAAGCTTATTGTTTACCTAGCTTGACAACTCAAAAGAGTATCTTTGTGAAGTATAAGGGATTTCTCTTGAGGTTTTGACAGAACAGACTGGCTAAGGTTAGGGATATATGTGTGCACACGTGCTTGGTCTGTGACTAATAATAGCATGGTGCTCAGAGTACCTCACCTTTCGTTCCTAACACAGCTTGTGCTCAAAGAAATAGCCCTTTGGGGATCTTCTGCTGACACTTAACTATGCTTAGAAGGAAGGGTCCTGCATGACAGAGGCAGTACTACCACTGATATTGTTTATTTTCCAACAGCGAGAACTTTCAAAGGCTTCCAAATCTGACGTTACTTCTCGAATCCTCAATTCAACCAACATCCAATCCTGAGAAGCCCTGATAAATAAGCCAGCTGTGGCTTCCTGTGCCTAAAGTGGACCTAAATATACAGGAATGGCTTTAATTATTCTTCAGTTTAGGTTTGCTTGAAAGCCTGGATGGATTCTATTACCATGGGCCTAACTTAAAGATATGAACAAATGTTACAAATGAAAGTCCCATCATAGACTCAGCGGGTCTTTAGAGATTTTTTTTTTTTTTTTTTGACTCAAGAAATACATTAAAACTTAGTTTAATTTCAGTAAGTGGAAATTTTAGCATGAGACCTAGTTTCTTTTTGTATGCCATTTCACTTGCTGAAGCATGATCAAGGGCTTGTTTTATTTCACCATTGGGTAGTGCCCATCCTTGGGGTCTGGGACATGAAGTAATTCTGTCTTGTATACTTGTAATTAGCAATTAACATCTTTGTTTAGGATGTTCAATTAATGTAGCTTTGCTCTCACCTAAAGGCCTGTTTCAGCCACACAGAACAGCCCTTCTCCTGATAAGGATGTCTTTGTGTCAGAGGTGGCCTGACCTACTGCCTAAGTGACAGGGAGGCTGGGAGCACCTTCATTAAATTGTGTAGTTGTGTTAATAAGTGCAATGCCCTTTGCAGGGGTACATGTATGTGAACACATGTGCTTGTCTGAACTCTGTGTCTTCAGAGTTTTCCCACTGGGTTCAGTCCCCTCATCCCTGTGCCCTCTATGCCTGAGTTCTTCTACCCCTGAAGTTGTTCAGCCAAGTTGGGAGGCTATCTGGATGGGTTGGTCCTTTTCTGTCGTGGAGATCTGGAACTTTGCACATGTCAGTACTGGGGATTTGTTCCTGCTGTAGTGTCCACGATGAGGCGCCTTCTTCACCTACCCTGCCAATCACTACTGCTCTCCCCAAAGCACTATTATTTATTCTTACTCTGCTTGCACCAGTACTACATCAGCCAGCACATTAAATGGTTCTCAGAAACTTAGCAGTGTGCACTTGGTTGTGTTAGCTAAGCTGTCTAGTCATCTGTATACATGTCCCATTTTTAAAATATAAACATATTCTTAAAAATAAATTAAAATGTGTATATTTACATTTCAAAAAGATATAGTGTTCGTTTTTATTTTTTATCCCAAATCACTTTTCAGTTGGTTTGATTGAAAAGACTAAAGGATGTATAAGAAATTATTAATAGAGTATGACTTTTTTATTTTTTGTGCATTTCTTAATGAAAAATACCTCTTATTCTAAGAGAAACATTTTAAAAAGCCTAATTCCTGATGTATGAAGAGGCTGAGGTAGTATTAGGAAACTTCTTGTTTCATTGTTGTTTGTTATGTTACAAACATGAATAGCTTTTACCAGGTTAGGCTATCTTTAAAACAACCTTATCAAGTAGTATAATTGACATAAACACATATTTAAAGCATACACTTTGATAGCTTTTGACAGTATATACCCATGAAACCATCACCACAATCAAGTCAGTGAACATATCAAAGTTTATTTTGCTCATTTATGCCTCCTTCCCACCCATACCCCTCAAGTAACCACAGATCTATCTGCTTTCTGTGGTAATGGTTTAGGTTGCATTTTCTAGACTTCTGAATAAGTAGAATTATACCGTATGTAATGTTTGTTATTCTGGCTTTGTTCATTACTTGGAAATTCCCCATATTGTTGCTTGTATCCATAGTTCATTCCTTTATATTCCTGAGTAGTATTTCATTGTATGCATATACCAGTTTGTTTATTCACCTGTCATGGACATTGAGGTCGTTTCTAGTTCAGGCTATTACAAATAAAGCTGCTATGATCATTCATACAAGTCTTTCTATGGATATATATTTTCTTTTTGGATAAAGATCTAGGAGTGGAATGGCCAGATCACATGTGTGTGTTAAACATTTTAAGATGCTAACAAACTTTTCCAAAGTGGTTATATGACTACATTTCCACCAATAATGCATGAGGTTTCCAGGTTCTCTGTATCCTCTGCAACATTTGGCATGGTCAGTCTTTTTAATTTTAGCCATTCTAGTGGGTGGGTAGTTGTATCTTATTATGGTTTTAATTTGCACTTCTCTAATGGCTAATGGGAGGAGCTCTGGTGGTGCAATGCGTAAGACATTTGACTGCTAACCAGAAGGCTGGTAGTTCAAACCCATCAGCCACTTTGGAGAAGGCAGACTGGGCAATCTACTTCCATACAGATTCGCCACCTCAGAAATCCAATGGGGGTCGCTATGAGTCGGAATAGACTTGATGACAGTAGGTTTGGTTTTTTGGAATGGCTAATGAAGGAGTCCTCCTGGTGGCGCAGTGGTTAATCACTCGGCTACTAACTGAAAGGTCAGCAATTCAATCCCACCTGTTGCTCCACGGAGAAGCAGTCTACTTTCGTAAAGATTACAGCCTTGGAAAGCCTATGGGGCTACAGGGTCACTGAGTTGATTCATTGGCAACAGATTTTGGAATAGCTAATGATACTGAATATCATATGTTTATTTGCTTCCTTTCTATCTTCTTTGGTGAAGTGTCTATTCAGTGCTTGCCTTTTTAAAATCAGCTTATGTTTTTATTATTTTGAAAGTTCTCTATATTATCTAGATAAACAGTTGCTGTGGAGTCCATTCCTATTCATTGCAACCCCACGTACGTCAGAGCACCCTGTAGGGTTTTCAATGGCTGATTTTTTTGGAAGTAGATCACCAGGCCTTTCTTCTGAGCGGACTTGAACCTCCAACCTTTCAGTTAGCAGCTTAATGCATTAACCATTTGCACCACCTTGGCACTCCATATATTCTGGATACAACTCTTTTGTCAGGTATGTGCCTTGCAACGATTTTCTTCTGGTCTGTGGCTTGTCACTTCAGTCTCTTTACAGTGTCTTTTTTTTTTTTTTTTTTTTAATTGTGATTTGGGTGAAGATTTACAGAGCAAATTCACTTTCCATACAGCAGTTCACATTCTTTACAGTGTCCTTTGAAGAACAAAAGCTACAATTTTTTATATTTTTAGATTTCATATTTGTGTCTGTCCATTGTGTGTATGTATGTGGTGCACATGGTATGGCCTTAAGTTCATTCTTTTTACATATAGATATTCAGTTGTCCAGCATTAGTTGAAAAGGCTTTTCTTTCTGCACTGCATTGTCTTTGCACTTTTGTCAAAAATCAGTTGTCCATATATGTGCAGGTGTGATAGTTGTGTGTCTTCTTGGCTGGGCCATGACTCTAAGTGGTTTGTTGTTATGTGCCATCGAGTCGGACCCAACTCATAGCAACCCCTCCTTGGGTTTCTGAGGTGGCATCACTACAGAAGTAGATTGCCCAACCTTCCTTCCAAGGAGTGGCTGGTGGGTTTAAACTGCCAGCCTTCTGGTTAGCAGTCAAGTGCCTTAGGCACTATACTACCAGAGCTCCTAAGTGGTTTAGCAGTTATGATGTAGTCATGCCCCATGATGAGATGTGCTATGAGCAGTCAGTCATTTGAAAGGGAGTTTCGTTTGGGGTGTGGACTGCTTCCAGTATATATGGAAGAGCTCTGACAAAACTCTGGCTTTCTGCTGGATCTGGCTCCTGCATCTGGCTCATCATCTCCAGTTCCTGGACTTCAGCCAGTGGCCTGCTGTATTGCCTGCCAATCTTGGGACAGTTGCCTTCATAGCCTGTGAACCAACAATCTGACATTTTACCTGTTGATTTTGGGTTCATCAGCCCCTGCAGCTGTGTGAGTCAGAAGCTCCCAGCTTGATGTTTGACCCACGGACTTGGGACTTGCCAGCCTCTACAACTGCATGAGCTATCTCCTTGAGAGAAATTTTTCTCTTTCTATATATAAACTTGGGAGCTCTGGTAGTGTAGTGCCTAAGGCACTTGACTGCTAACCAGAAGGCTGATGGTTCAAGCCCACCAGCCAATCCTCAGAAGGAAGATGGGGCAATCTACTTCCATAGCGATACTGCCTTGGAACCCAACGAGGGGTCACTATGAGTCGGGTCTGATTCGATGGCACATAACAATAACATATATAAAAAACTTCATTGGTTTTTACTTCTCCAGAGACCCAGCCTAGACAGTGAGTTTATTGCTGGACTCTTTCTTTTCCATTGATATATCTATCCTTATGCCATTAAGGATGTTAATGTAGATTTATAGTAATTTTTAAAATTTTAACATTATTTTGGATGATGTCCAATTTATCTGTTTTGTCCTCTTGCTGTATCTAATTATCCATTACCAAATCCAAGGTCATGAATATTTACCCTTATATTTTCTTCAGGCAGTTTTGTGATTTTTTTTTTTTTTTAGTAAGTTAAGAGTCTTTTATTTTTCCTTTTGGCAATTAGGAAATTTCCTCTCCCCATAGTCTTCCCACATATTTTTTTCTAAGTATGTATAGAAATGTTTTCTCTTTCTAGGTCTTTGAGAGACTCTTCTTATTGGTTCTAGGAGATCAGTAGGGAATAGATATGAAGTGGGGTGATCCAAATGAATTGATCAATCAAACTAGGTCTCATCAATCATTATCAATGCTACTTATCAAATGTGTTGGTGAAGTGACTTTGCAACTTGGTTGAAAATCAATTGAGGATATATGTGTGAGTCTATTTTTGGACTCTTTTCTGTTTCATTTATATATACATTATTTATCCTTTTTCTAGTACAACACTGGACTCCTTAGCTTTATAATCTTCTGCTGTTAACCCCAACTCATGGTGACCCCATGTGTGTCAGAGTAGAATTGCCTTCCATAAGATTTTCAATGGCTGATTCTTCAGAACTAGATTGTGATTTCTTTTTGACCCACTGGTTGTTTATATTTGTTTAAGGATGTTTTACCATTATTTATTTATTCATATGGTTTCAAGTTACTGTCTAGTTCTTTTCAGTTTAGACTAGAGGACTTCCTTTAGCATTTCTTATGGGTATGTCTACTAGTGATGAGTGCCCTCAGTTTTTGTTTATCTGGGAATGTCTTATTTTCTCCTCCTGCATTGTTGAAGGATAGTTTTGGCATATATAGAATTCTCGGATGATTGTTTTTCTTTTTAGCACTTTAAATATGTCATTCCACTTGCAATAAATCTATAGTAATTAAAGTGGCACACATGTGGATGGATCTTACAATGTTGGCTGAAAGAAATAAGACAAAAGAATATATACAGAATGATTCCATTTACCTGAAGTTCAAAAGCAGAGAAGCTATTCTGTATATGGATGCCTATCAAGGTGATAAAGTTATAAATTAAAATAGGGAAGTGAATGGTGAAAGGAAGATGACTTCTAGTGGTTCCCAATCTTGGCTGTACATCAAAATCACCTGAGGTGGGAGGGGAGCTTTAACATTTACCAATACCTGGGTTCTACACCCTACATGTGCTTAAAGATGAGGGGAGAAAAATGTGATGGGGAGGGGCAAATGGGGATATTTGTGGTGCTGGAATGTTTGAACTTAACCTACATGGGTGTTACACAGGTGTTCACCTTTTAGTTCTTTAATATATTTTATGCACTTTTCTATATATACCTAAATATGTATATGTACATATACATACATACACAGTTCATAATAACTTGTACTTGGGTTAATTTAGGGTTAGCTTTTTTTGTTCAGCCACCTGAACAAAGAGAGCATTGATCAGCTTTTCCCTTTCTCCACAGCATACACATATGTGTTCCAGGGGCCGCAGGTCACAGCCTTCACCTGTAGTTGCTTATCTACAAAGTATTCCACACGGCAAGGGCGATCCAAGCTGTCCGTGTCCTTGTGGCCAAGCTGCCCATATTTACCTGAAGTGTGAAAGGAGCCCTCTTTGCCACTCTCCACTGGGCCTTGCTGCCTTTCCCCTCCGAGAAGGGAAAACAGCCACCTATTAAAGTGCTGCTGCTATGCCTCACCACCCTGCTGCAGTCTGCTCAGTAAAGCCAGGAGACCCCAAGCTATGAGGCTCCCAGGGTCAGGCAAGCCTGGGTTCCCAGGAGGCTAGCAGCAGCCAGCCACTCTGGGCAAGATGATCATCCAGGTCTCCCTGCACCTAAGCCAAGATGCTCAGAGCAGGGACTCCTATATTATCTCTACCCAATGCCAGACCAAAAAAAAAAGATGTTTCATAAATATGGGCTAAATAAAGTCTTTCAGAAAGGTAGGTTGGAAGTACTGGTAGCATGCCCTTATATCTCTTGTCTGATCTCTGAGTGTGCCTAGATCTGTTCTTTCACCAGTCCTCCCAGTAACCCCGAGGCACCTGCTGCCACTGGTAGCATGGCTATTGTTAACCTGCTTTCTGCGCCCCAGTCTTTCCTACCCTTAGGTTTAAACATCACAACAGCAGTAGCTTTACTTACCCCAGCCCCAGGTGTAGAGCTCTCCCGTTCCTATAAACAAAGGACAAATGAAAAGTTTTTTCAATAAATGGTGTTGGGAAAATTGGATTTCCACATGCAGGAAAATGAAACAGGATCCATGCGTCACACCGTATACAAAAACAAATGCAGAATGTATTAACAATTTTAATGTGCAAAACTAAAAGCATAAAATTCTTAAGAGAACAATGAGGGGCAACACTCAGGCCTACCTTTCAACAATGGATTATCTATCTACTATAATACTAAAAGCACAAATAGTGAAAGACAAAATAAATAAATGGGACCTTAGAAAAATTAAAAACTTTTGCTTGTCAAAAGACTTTACCAGAAAAGTGAAAAGACAAGCTACTGACTGGGAAAATATCTTCAGAAACCATATATCCAACAAGAATCTAGTAAATAAAATATATGTAAAACTTAGACAGTTTAACAACAAAAGGACAAATAACCCACTTATAAAATGGGCAAAGGACTTGAATACACATTTCACCAAAGAGGACAACCAAATGGCCACCAAATATATGAAAAGATGCTCAGCATCATTAGCTGTCAGAGCAAATCAAAAACACAACGAGACACAATTACACTGGCACCAGGAGGGCTACGATTGGAAAAAATGATGTAGGTAAGAATATAAGGAAATTGGAACCTTTATCCGTTGCTGGTGGGAATGCAAAATGGTATACCCATTGGCAAAATAGTGTGGCCTGTTCCTCAAAAAACTAAAAACTACCGTATGACCTAGGAATTCCATTCCTAGGTATATACCCTGAAGATTTGAAAGCAGATTCAAACAGATACTTGCTCACCAATAGTTACTGCAGCACCATTCACAATAGCCATAATGTGGAAACAATCTAAATGCCCATTAAGAGATGAATGGATAAGTAAAATGTGGAGAAACGAGATCTCAATACATGCTACAATAGGATTAGAGCTGGAAGACATTGTGCTGAGTGAAATAAGTCAATCACAAAAGAACAAATAGTGTATGACCTCACATAAAAAGATAAGAAAAGGCAAATGTATAGAGAACAAAGTTTATTACTAGTTACCAGGGGTGAAAGGGAGGGGGAAAAGGGGTGTTAATGATGGAAATATCGCATTGATTAAAGGCAGGGTAGGGTTGCACAGCCTATTTATAATTGCTGCCAATAAGCTGTACATTTATAAAAAGTTGAACATTGGCAAAGGTTGTATATCTATAGTAACAAAAAGAGTAGCTGCTGAAGCTGTTTATGTCCAACCACTTCATGGGATTTGGTTTCTTGGTTTGGAGGTTTAGGGTCATGGTTTCATGGGACGTACCAGTTAATTAGCCTAATAATGTGTTTAGTGCTTTTTTAATTGTTGAGGATATACAGAGCCCTGAGCAATTCAGCAACACTGATTACACCCGTTGTCCCCCTCCCTCCCACCCCAGTAACCACTTTGTTCTATACATTTGCCTGTTCTCACCTTTTTATGTGAGGTCACACAGTATTTTTTTGTGATTGATTTACTTCACTCAGCATAATGTCTTTCAGCTTCATCCCTATTTTATTGTTCTGTTTCCTAGTTTGTTTTTCTTTTGTTGTTGTTAATTGTGATTTGGGTAAAAGTTTATAAAGCAAATTCATTTTCCATATAACAGTTCATACACATTTTGTTTCATGACACTCCCTGTAGTTACCTCTTCCCTGTGTCCTTATTTCCTATGCATTCCTGCACACACCTTCGTGTCCCACACCCCCTCAGCTATCTCCCTGTGCAAACACTGACCTTCTGTTCTTCCATGACTGATTGATCGTTCTAAGGAGTGTATCTACCTGATGTAAATGTTCACCCTATATGCCTGTCTGTTTGGCTGGAAGCCACAGGAGTGAGTTCAGTTCCAGACCCAATTAAAAGGCCATAGTCTCAGGGGTCTCACCAGGCTCATCAGACCAGTAAACCTAGTCTTTTTTTTTTAATTTTGAGTTTTGTTCCATATTGTTCTATCCCCTAATTGCGTAGTGTCTGGGGTCTTAAAAGCTTGAAAGAGTCATCCAGTGCACAAAATTTGGTCTCTTCGTCTGGAGCAATATAGAGAAAAGGAGAATCAGGGATAAGAGGAGGAAATGGACGTGTGGCTCATTACCTCCATGAACAACTGTGTCTTTTGCCATGAGACCAGAAGCACTGGATGGTGCCCAGCTACCAATACTGCATTTTAATTAAAAATTTTATAGAAGAGTCCTGATTAAAATAGGGAAAATACAGAATTTCAAATGCTTATGAGATGCAGCCTTTCTGGAGCCACGTAGGTTGGATGAATACCTGAAACTATTACCCTGAAATATTTTTTAAACAAAAAAAACAACTCTGAAGTCTTCTTAAAACGAAAAAAGTTTAGCTTAACTACTAAAAAAACATCTGCCTTGAGCATTGTGCTCTTTTAAGAACTACTATATTGGGATCATAAGGAGCTCTGGTGGCATAGTGCCCAAGGCATTTGACTGCAAACCAGAAGGTTAATGGGGAAGGAACAACTCAGAAAAGTAGGGTGAGGATGGCCGTTCAACTCAAAGAGTATTATCAGTGTCATGGATGTATATATTCTCAATAACAATAAACAAGGACAGCGAGTAGCTATCACATTGCTTTTTGGCAAGGCATCCATCTAGTCTGGCCTAGCACATCCCACAACCAGTAGCATTATAATCCTCGAGGTTTGGTTGGCAGAGAACAACACAGTCCCTCTCTTTTTAACAACTGTCTAATTACACTTGGTATGATAAAGTATAGCCATGTGTCCCATAGCCCATATGTCAACCGGTGAGCCTGCATCTAACAGCCTGGATTCAGGAGTCTTAGAAGCTAGGCTAGGTCAGCCCTGACAGAGGAAGAGTGGGTGCTAGGGTGAGGAGTCTGCCTGTGTGGAGGCTGGAGGGAGAACAGCCTCCCACCAAGAGGAGGAACTTGGGCCTGACAGGCGGCGGGATAACAACTGAAGCCCACTAGAACAGGGATTTTAATTATTTGCTGAGTGACGCAGCTCTTCAGTATGTGTCAAAGACGCTTCAGGACACAGTTTTTAAGTTGAACACCCTTATCTGCAGCCACCAGCTCGACAGCAGGGTGGCAGGAGTGCCTGCTCCATCCTGAACCAGCTCTCCCAGCCCTACTCACGTGTCACCACAGCCGTGTGCCGGGACCCACAGCTGGCCTTGACTGCATCTGAGCCGAGGGGGAGATCCAGTAAAGCTGGGAAGGGCTGCACAGCAATGTAGGGGGCAGGGGTTCCATCCTCACCCCCAGCTGTTCCCTTCACTTCAGAACCATCCACAGTCAGCCCAGTAGCTTTGGAGAAATAACAAAAATTATGATAGTAGGGAACACACAATTGTTATCCTAAACCTTATTCATATATTAACTCAGTTAATCCTCAGTAGCTCTATGAGGCACATTATATAGTCCCAACCCCCATGCTCTACAGGAATTGCTGGAATTGTTAGGTTTGCCAGAAGTGTAGCATCAGCTCCCCATAAGGGTCTCAGAGATCTGTGGTGTGTCCCAAGATAACAAGAATTTCCCATATTCCTTCAGCGCACTGTAGCTCTCAGGCCAGCACATGGCCAGGACTTGGGAGTGACAGAAACATCCTAGGGAGACAGCTGTGGGAGTCAAGGGTCCTCACCTTTCCCTGCAACTGTCTTCCCTTCCTCCGCCAGGCTCCTGGTGGGCAGGGCCAACTGCCCTGATTCATTCCAGCCCCAGATATAAATATCCCCAGTCTCTGAAAGACAGACAGAGGGAACCCATTAAACAGACTGAAAATATCTCCATCTCCTGAGCGCCCTGCTTCCATCCATACTCCTCTACCATCATGGACTTCCTGAGGACAACTAATGTTCACTCTACCCATTTGCACTCCAGGCAAAGTGCCCCCTCGGCCCCAGCAGCTTCCTAACCACGCCTTCCCTTTCCCTCAAGTGCCACCCTTTCCTTTTAGTCTCTTGCAAGACTCCTGTTGTCACTCTTTTCTTTTGTTCCTGAATTGCACACACATGTGCACATACACATGCACACTTTGAGGCTGTATCCTTGGAAGTTCTCCAATAGTATCCCTTTCAAACCCCTGGAGCCTCGCTTCTTTCTTCATCCACCCCGCCACGGATCCTGCAACAGGTCTCTTGAAGCTGTCATTCTGGTCCTAGGTCACCAGTCATGGCACTTCCAGGGGCTCATCCTTGTCACCATCATCCTCACTGTGGGCATTTGAGACCACACACCACAGCCACCCGGGCAACTGCAACCTTTCTTCATGCCCCTGGGTTCCACTGTCCCTCTCTCCCCTTCTTGCTCCCTTGGGGAGTATTTTAGAAAGAGCCCTGGCTGGTGGCAGATGAATGGTAATGGTAGTGAGACTGATAGTAGAGACAGGATAGATAATTCCAACAGTCCAGGTGGGAGTGGGTGATGGTGGCGGCGGAAGGGGTGAACCTGAGAGGCATTTGACCAGTTCCTGTTCCTGAGCTGTTTCTGACTCCATGTGTGTCAGAGCAGAACTACACTCCGCAGTTTTCAATGCCTGTGACCCTTCAGAAGTAGAATGCCAGACCTTTCTTCTAAAGTGCCTCTAAATGGATTTGAATCGCCACCATTTCAGTTAGTAGCCAAATACTTAAACGTTTGTGTTACCCAGGGACTCCAGATGCTGTCAAGTCTATTCTGACTCATAGCAACCCTACAGGGCAGAGTAGAATTACCCCCATAGAGTTGCCAAGGCTATAATCTTTATGAAAACAAAACTGCCACATCTTTGTCCTACGCAGCAGCTGGTGGGTACAAACCACCAACCTTTCAGTTAGCAGCCAAGTACTTAACTACTGTGCCACCAGGCCTTCTGAGAGACATCAGGAAGTCATGAATGACTGAGCTGATCAGTCAATGTGGGATGAGCTTAGAAGGAGGCCTGGCTAGGCCACCTACAGACACTGGAAGGGGAGGAGGCAGGTCTAGGGCCTACAAGATCATGCACTTGCTTGGAGAAGTGGTGGGTCACTCACCACTCACACACACAGAGTGCCAGCCGCCAGCAGCCACCTCAGCCATGTGCAGGCCCTGCAGTGCCTCCAATAGCTTTGGCTCCAGCTCTGCTTCCAAGGTCCCATGGCCCAGCTGTCCATGCCTGAGCAAGGAGATCGTAATCAGCTACAGCCACGTCAAGGGACGCCCCTTCCCTTCCATCTCCCAATCACATATACGACCTCCAGCCACATTCACCTGCTTCCCCAGACACCCAGGGAATGTGCACCCGGCCACGCCCTCCCCCCCACAACCACTCACCTGCCGCTGCCCCAGGAGAACACTTGGCCCGCGGCCCCCAGCAGCAATGCGTGCTCTGCACCCAGCTCCAGCCGGCGTGCCCGGAGCTCCGGGGCCAGAGGCTGGTAGAAGGGCGGCCGAGGGCTCACGTAGGCGCAGGCGCCCGGCAGCAAAGGCAATGACCCGGCCTGGGCCTCACCGCTAGATCCGAGTTCCTTCGCGGCCTCCGGCACCACGGTCTGGGCCCAGAGAGGTTCCCCACGCGGTGCCGAGCCTGGAGACCAGACCTGCAGCTCCGCCTCAGGTCCGGGGCCTGCGCGCAGCACCACGAGGAGGGCCTCCGAGGCCCACGCGTCTCTGCAGCAGCTAATTACGCCGCTCGCCGAGCCCGACAGCTCAGTGCGGCCTCCACCTGCGGCGACAGACAGCAGGTTGGGAAGGGGATGGAGTACATAAGCAGGGATGAAAACTATAATGGGAGAGTCTAGACAGGGGCCGGGAGGCCAGAATGGGAGGCGAGGGTGTGCTGGGGAGCTGGCGGGAATGGAGACGGGAGTGGGTCATGCTCACGGCTCACGAAGGCGGTGTAGCTCCAGCTCGCGCACACGCGGCGGATGTCGGCGCCCGTGACCGGCCTTCCCACAGGCTCGGGGCTGTGCACCTGGCGCTCGCGGCCAGAGCCTAGAGCCTGCCCAAAGCCGCAGAAGCCGAAGCCGAACCAAGCCCCGTGCTGCTCCTCGGCCATGCCCAGGCAGCGCCCTCTGCTGGCCGCCTCTGCTGGTTGGGGTGGGATGCGGAACAGAGGGTTCAGGCTGGAATGGAGAAAGACATTGTTGCAAATAAGCCCATTGTGTGGCACAGGCGAGGCTTCCAGTCGCCTATCTGTAAACTGGAAACCTCCTACCCACCAAACCCAAACCAAACGCTTTGCCATCCAGTCGATTCCGACTCATGGCAGCCTCGGGTGAGAGCAGAACTAAGCGTCGTTGGTTTTGCTTGGCTGCAGTCTTTACTGAAGCAGATCGCCAGGCCTTTCTGTCACAGCCTCTGGGGTGGGTTTGAAACACCAACCTTTCAGTTTGTGGTCGAGGGCAAACTCTTAGTAATACCCAGTGACCTCCCCTAACCACAGGGGCAGACAATATCCGTTCCATAAATATTTCCTGAGCTCCAGCTTCGCTGAGCTCCTACCAGATTTACGAAGAAGATTCTGAACGGTCTTGAATCTAGTACTGACTGGGTGGCTTTCCCTGTAATCCCTTTTGGCTCAAGTTCAGCATGCCACAAAGTGGGCAGGAGATAGTTAAGTGGATTTTCCTCTAGGCATTGTACTAAGACCTGAGGCCCCCATCCGGCAGTTACAACTTCCCTATGTCTGGTACATCCCATGTAATCTTGGGAACTGACTGGAATTGTCCTCATTTTATAAAGGAAGAAATTGAGACTCCCAGAGAAAGTAACCTCTACACAATCATACAACTCATATGGAGAGAGGTAGAGGGCTGAACTTTTAGTTCATCTCACTCCATGTACAATGAGTGCTCTTCTCATACACAGTGGACATCAGTAGAGAGTATGGGGGCAGTAGCTGAACAGGTCATTTCTGAGTTCACTTTGCCTCTGCAGCTAGCAGTGGCTTTATGTCCTTCACTTAAGTGCTCTGAATCCAATTCAGTTTCTTTAGTTTTAAAAGGAAGTGCCAGTTGTACCTACCACATAGGATTGTTTGGACTAAATGCATATAACGTGTTCAGTGCTGGCACAAACCATGATTAATATGCAGTAAGTTTATTAAATTCAGTATTTAGAGATGACCACTGCTTCTTACTACTTTTTAGGGACCAGTATAGACATAGGAGTCCCTGATGGTACGAACAGTTAATGGGTTTGGTTGCTAATCCAAGTCTGCCCAGAGGCACCTCAGAAGAAAGATCTGGTCATCTACTTCTTAAAAAGCAGCCACTGAAGACAGTGTTTCTACAAGTGTATTTGTATGGTCTGTAAGAATTCCCAGGTATATAGTAGAGCTGACAGGAGTTCTGGTAGCGTAGTGCCTAGGCACTTGACTGCTAACCAGAAGGCTAGTGGTTCAAACCCACCAGCCACTCCTCAGAAGGAAGGTTGGGCAATCTACTTCCGTAGTGATACTGC